TGACCTTGGGCAAGCCATAGTTCTGATAAGAGCTGTTCTTGAAAAAAGAGCAGTTTCTGCCAAGAGCTCTCTCAGCCCCACCTAACCTCACAGGGTGTCTGTTGTGGGGAGGGGAAGGGAAAGGAGTTTGTAAGCCGCTCTGAGACACCTTTGGGTAGTGAAGGGCGGGGTATAAATCCAATCTCTTCTTCTTCTACTTCTACTTCTTGCAGCCACTCTTCTCACAGAAGACAGAACCCCTGATAAGACTTGCTACCAACACATGGGCACATATGAGAAGAAATGGTCTTGTGTGTTATGGTGTGATGCGTGTTATGGTGGTCCCAAACTATGAAGGGCCTCCAGGCTCTCAGAGGGAAAATGTGTATTCTTTTGTCAGTTCTTTGGGTTCCAGGTATGAACTAAAAAGGGGTTCCAGCCACTGTTCCCCCTAAGCTGAGTTAGTGTGAGCTAGCTCACCGTTTTTAGCCTTCAGCCCACACATTTTTGTGCTAGCTCAGGAAGGATGGCTCCCAGAGCAAATTAATTTTCAGGGTATGACCTTTCGAGAGCCAAGGACACCTCCCGTCGTCAGATACAAACCTCCGACTCTCGAAATCTCATACTCTGAAAAGGCTGGTCTCTTAAGGTGCTCCTTGACTTGAATCTAGCCCTCCTACTGCAGACTAACACGGTGGACCTCTGGAAATTATTTTCAGCAGTGTATCTTGCGAACAGATAACAGTACTTGTTTTTTTCCTACGTACCGACAGCTGAAGATGGACCTGATGCTGAAGCTGACCTTCCAGCTGTTCCTTGTGGGTTGGCACAATAGGGTGGGAGATGGGTGGAGGCTGAGTGGGCATGGTTGCCCCTTCAGGCCACTTGGGTCAGTTGTGCTGGGAAGACTCACTCAACGGGGCTCCGTTTCCCATATTTCTAGTGTTGATGTAGCGTTTGGGGCTGCATGGCAGGGAAGTAAACTTGCATTGGTCAGGCCGCACCTGGAGTATCGTGTGCAGTTCTGGAGGCCTCACTTCAAAAAGGATGTGGACGGCACAGAGTGGGTGCAGAGGAGAGCGGCGAGGACGATCGGGGGCCTGGAGACCAAACCCTGTGAGGAAAGGCTGAGGGACTTGGGAATGTTCAGTCTGGAGAAGAGGAGGTTGAGGGGGGACAGGGTGGCTCTCTTGAAGCATTTGAGGGGCTGTCACTTAGAAGAGGGCAGGGAGCTGTTCCTGTTGGCAGCAGAGGAGAGGATGCGCGATAATGGGTTTAAATAAAGGGCGGGAAGGTACCGGCTGGCTGGAAGTTAGGAAAAACTTTTTTACAGTAAGAGTTGTGCAACGGTGGGATCAGCTGCCTAGGGAGGTGGTGAGCGCCCCCTCACTGGCAGTCTTTAAGCAGCAGCTGGACAAATACTGGTCAGGGATGCTCTAGGCTGATCCTGCATTGAGCAGGAGGGTTGGGCTAGATGGCCTGTATGGCCCATTCCGACCCTGTGATCCTGTGATACTGTGAAATTGTGTATATGGAAAGAGGGAAAGGTCTGTGCTCCTGCAAGAGGAGAGTTAAAAGGATGATAAGTCCTTGTTTGGGTGGTCTCTGGAGGGCATAGCTGGAGCTGTCAGGGGCCAAAGAACCTCATCCTTGTGGCCTCAGACAGGCAGCAGAACAATGATGGGGAGAGTCTTGAGGAGATAATTCCAAGCCGCAGGTGACAAGTGCCGTTTTTATTTACCCCATCTATGCTTTGCCTCTCTCCCCAATGGGGGCCCAAAGTGGCAGTTACATTGTTGTCCTCTCCTCTATTTCATCCTCACAACAGCCCTGTGAGGTAGGTTAGGCAGAGAGTTGTGTGACTGGCCCAGGGTCACCCATCCAACTTCCACTGGGGATTTGAACCTGGTTCTCAGATGTAAAAAAAAAAAGACTCCTTGCAAGGAGAAAACTAGCTCATCAGGGATCAGTGCTCTCCCTCGCTCTTTTTCACTGATGAAGAATATTGAGAAATGTGATTTCTACCTTCCTTCCTTCGACATCAGCTTGTGCTCTTTTGCACATCTTTCCCGTTCATTTTGCTTCACGTGCAGCACCATCCATAGGATGCAGTGCCAGAGTACTCTGCATCATTCAAAAACTTCACAGCTCAAGGAGTTACATCTTGATTGTTTGGGGGGGGGGGTCCCGCTCCCCCTCTCTTTAGCAAGCAAAAGGCAATTACATTATGTATGGGTGCTTTTTTCCTGTAAAGGGTGGTAAAGCTCCCCCTAGTGCACAAGACCAAAAACTGCAGATCCAGACACAGTTTAGTTATCTAGACTTGCTCTGACCTGGATAGCCCAGGCAAGCCCGATCTCCTCAGATCATGGAAGCTAAGCAGAGTCAGCCCTGGTTAGTATTTGGATGGGAGACCTCCAAGGAAGCCCAGGGTTGCTATGCAGAGGCAGGCAATGGGAAACCACCTCTGAACGTCTCTTGCCCTGAAAACCCTACGGGGTTGTCAAAAGTCAGCTGAGGCTTTACGGCAAAAAAAGAAAGAAAAAGAATACCTATTTATTAATTTATTTCTATTACGGGACCAGCTGCCTTTGAGCTCCGCGCTCTCCACAAACCGTCAGTGGCCGCAGCCGTTCCATCTGGCGTTGACGTGTACATCCTCTAAAAGTTAGGGCCCAAATTTGCTTTGTTTTCCTCTCCTGTTCCTTTCCCTTTTACCTTTCATGCAATATGTATTTCATAGCAGGTGTTACTTGGGATTATCAACTGCCTTGAATGCGGCGGTGGAAAAGGGGGTAATGGAAACGTATCCAGGAAGTTAAAATAATGTGCTCTCCGAACAAAAATTTCAACAGAAGGTTCCGAGAGGCTTCTGGTATTCTATTTTAAGGGTCTGCATGCTTCCCCCCCCCTTTCTTCTTTTAGATGTGTACAAATATCAAATGTAGGAACTTGACAGGCAGCCAGCAGCCTTGATGAGGAACACAGCCTTCAGACTGGCTTGCAAACTTTTGCATCAGACGAGGTTTTTCTCCAGTACATCATGTTATGTCTTTGCACATTGCAATGCAGTAGGAGACTGGCACACTGGCATCTCCTAAAAGTCTGGCACGCAACGGTTTGTTTGTTTTTTCCTTTTGGCAGAAGCCTATATACCTGGATAGACGGCTGTACAGATAGACAGATATGAAAGCTGGTGTGGCATCAGCAGTTAGGGTGTCTGACTAGGATCCGGGAGAGCCGGGTTCAAATCCCCACTCCGCCATGGAAGGTTACTGGGTGACCTTCAGGCCTGTAACTATGGTGGGGCTTTGGGGGGCTCTGCCCCCTTTCTAAAAGGCACAGCCCCGCAAGAATTTCTCCTGTAAATGCTTTTTAAAAACATTTTTAAAAGGTGTGCGCTCCTTTAACCAGAGTGGGGTGCTGTAGTTGACTAATCCCCACAATGAGCACGGGGGTTGGAGTAGGTGACCTCTAGGGTCCCTTGTGTGTCAAGAAACTGGTCTCCTTTAAGGCAGTTTTTCTGCCTAAGTGTTAGCTTCCTTGACTATAGAAGTTATCACCCCCACCTGCCGGCTTGTTCTCAGAATTGCTGGCAGAAGGGATTAACTTGCAGCAGCTGAGAAGTGTCATCTAAAGTGGTTGGCAGCTTGCAGTTCAGAGCTCTATCCTGGTAACAGCTTTCTGTTGGCTAAACGGCTTTTCTTTCTGCACTGAGGACTTCAGCCCCACCAGAGAAATAATCGGCCCCCCAAGCCGCAAAATCCTGGCCACGGGCCCGGTGACCTTGGTCCAGTCACACACACTCAGCCTAACCTACCTCACAGGGCTGTTGTGAGGAGAGTAGAAGGATGTGAGCGGTTTTGGGTGCCCATTGGGGAGAACACAGCAGGATGCCCCAATCTGGATGGCCCAGGCTAGCTTGATGCCATCAGATCCCACCAGTTAATCATGGTTGGCCTTGATCAGTATTTGTATGGGAGACCACCAAGGAAGTCCGGGATTGCTACGCAGAAAAAGGCAATGGGAAAACCACATCTGTTTGTCTCTTGCCATGAAAGGCTTTTGGGGTCACCATAAGCTGGCTGCAATTTGATGGCACTTCACACACACACACAAAGTAAAGTGAAAAGTTTGGCCGCTCTCAAGGAAGCGAGAGGGATGATG